GATCACATACTCCTTCCTCTCCCTACCTTTCCTTCAAAGTATCAAGTGATAAAGTTATTTTGATTCTATGGGAAGTAACACTGTGGCTCAAATGGTATTGCTCTAGCCTTGACCACAAAGAGGCTCAGGGACAGTGCCTAGGCCCAGAGTTCAAGCCCCAAGACTGGCAATAAATAAATAAGAACAACAGAAATTCTTTTACAAGGCCCAGCTGGATGCGGTAGCTCACACCTGTAATCCCACATCTGTAGGAGGCATAGGTCTGAGGCAGGTCCTTAAACAAAAAGTGAAACCCTCTCTGAAAATAATAATATAAATCAAAAAGGAATAGAGTGTGGCTGAAGCTCAAAGAGTTCAATGTATAAAAATGCACCCATGAGGAGAATTTGCCTGTGGGTGAGGATGGCAATGCGATCTGATCTGCGGCTGGGTTACTGAAATCATCTCCACAGTTCCTTTCTCCATGGGCCTACAAGATGCCTGCTGTTGGAGGCAGGCACCATTGAGGGCAAAGCCCCATGTTAACACACCTTCACAGCAACCCTTTGTTTTATTATTTTGGCTTAAACTTTCTGAAGAGGGCCAGCATGCCCAGAAGCGCTCCTGTCCACTGCTACCTCTATGACTTAGCTGCATACACCCCAAAGTATCTTTGTTGACCATTTTAACCTTTCTAAGGGGTCCTCATGACCTTGAGTTCAGCATACTGAGTAACCACACACCATCTTTCCTTTTTGTCTGTGACCTTACACTGAGCCCACCCAAGGGCTGGCCTAGGGACCATGTGTGGGCTCCCGAATAAGCCCTCCATGTCCTAGGTTTCAGGAGGGCTGCTTTGAAATAGTTCCCTACTCTCCATACCTGCAGCAGGTGACAAATCCTTCTCCCCCCTCCCTCCTTCTTGGCAATGCTTATTTTGGCTCTGTATCCATCAAGATAGGTACCATTGTGTTCCGTTACTGATATTCAATTACAAAGTACATTTGAAAACAATTATCATCTGAAGCTAAAAAATATGCTGTTAATCTAGACAGGGTGTGTGTGTGTGTGTGTGTGTGTGTGTGTGTGTGTGTGTGTGTGTGTGTGTATGTGTGTGTGTGTGTGTGTGTGTGTGTGTACACACATGCGCGCATGCGTATGAATGTGCACACACTGATCCTGGGGCTTGAACTCAGGGTCTGGGCACTGTCCCTAAGCTTTTTCACTCAAGTCTGGTGTCCTAACACTTGAGCAACAGCTCCACTTCTGGCTTTTTGGTCGTTAATTGGACATAAGAGTCTCATGGACTTTCCTACCCACACTGGCTTCGAATCTCAGTCCTAAAATCTCAGCCTCTTGAATATCAAGGATTACAGGCATAAGCCAGCAGTGCCTGGCTGAGGCAGAATTTTTTACAAGATCGCCAACATGACTTAGACATTTTTAATTGCACTGGCTGAACGTTTTAACACACACATTTAAAAATAATTTAAGCATCTGTCCCGATGGCTAGAGACTGGAGGATAACTTCATACCATTCTGTCCTACAAGAAAATACTGTTTGGGATGGCAGCCTGACTCAGTGTAACATGAGACTGGTTATATATGACCGGAATTCTGTCCCAACAGCTGACATTCCTCTCCTTAGACCACCTGTCCACACCAAGGTTGCTCAAAAAAAAAAAGAACTTTTTCTAATATAAATACCAGAGTACAACAGCAGCAGCCTAAAATGATGTTTGTATATTGGATTTATATGCAGACAAGTTTGAGTTTTTGTGATTTTTTTTAAATGAAGTTGAAAAAAAACCAAAAATATATTCAGCCAGGTGTGGCGTGAACCACCAGTGCCCTGCTCAGCTCTGTGGAACTTTAAGAAGCCCACACTTCTATGTCACCCAGTTAGTATAATTCACCCTTACCAACTGGTCTCAGTCGTTGAAGATATAAGCAGAAAAAAACCTCAATGCCCAGACAATAAGCAGTTCACTGTTGGTGGAATTTCCTGCAAAGGGTAGATCTGTGGGAGAATCTAGGAGTGGTTCACAAGCCACTTTGGGCTAGGGACATAGCTCCATGGTACAGCCCTTGCTAAGCATGCATGAGGCTCTGGGTCCCACCCCCAGCACCACAGAAGAACACAAACCAGAGAGTGGCTTGTCCCTGCAGAGGCTATGTTACAACACGGCACAGAGAAAGGGCCGAGGGGAGCCCTAGCCTGCCACTGCTGTGTGACCCTGGGTAAGTCCCTTGACCTTCCTGGTCCTGTCTTCATTCTTATGCAGAATGAAGCCCAGATCTTCATCCCCTTAATCTGTATGTACAGACCCCCTGCTGTGGGCTGGGCTGTGGGAGGAAGGAAAAGGGGCACTGTGGCAACATGATGAACCCCTCCAACAACTCTGCTTGCTCAGTCTCTCAGAGGAAACCAACACAAGACTGCTGTGACACACAGACAGCTTCCTAACACGGTTGTGACAGTGAAGGCATAGAGTGTCCTCTGAGCTAGGACCCATGCAAAGACCAGCTTCTGGAATCCTTTAGCCTCTGGGGACACTGAGGCTTCATGAGGTTGTCTAGGCAAAGGTCATGTGCATAGATGTATAGTTCAAACACTTGGTCATTGTCCACTCATGTGTGCTCATGTGTGTGTGCATGCATGCACACATGTACATACATGCATGTATGTATATGAGGTAGGCAAGGGCACAACCACTGAGCTGCACCCAGCCACAGCTTCCTCCTCACCTGACCTCAGCCTTTCTCTCTCTCTCTTTCTCTCCCCACCCCTCCTTCTTTCTTGTCTATCTGTCTGTCTGTCCCAGGACTGTGTCCCAGGCTTTCACCAACTTGCATTTCCTCAAGACCACACATTGTGGTGGAGCCCCTGGTGGCAAGATTGGCCCCTGGCTGGAATGGGACTGCTTGCTCTCTGCTCCCTGTAAGCTGATAACCACATCCAGTCCCATCTCCTCTTCCTGCTCCAAAGCCAGCCAACTCCATCCATCAGCCTGCAGCACATCAGCCCCAGAGAACACAGAGAAACAGCCATCATAAGCCCACTGCACTTCCTTTGACCTTCTGACTGATTACAGCACTGTCTTCCAACATCCAAGTGAGATGAAGAGTAGCAGTTGTGCATGGAGTGGACCAGGGCTGAGCCAGGCAAACAGCAGTGACTGCTCACCCTGCTTCTTTACAGGGCACACAGACTGCCAATGACTGCACTCCTGCCCTGTAGCAGGCACTTCCTGCACAGTGGCTCATTTAAACCTCCTAACTCATCCAACTACCTATCCATTATCCATCTTTCACCCATCCATCCATCCATCCATCCATCCATCCATCCACCATCTATTCCTCATGTATCCATCATCATACACCCATCTATCCATCATCTGCCCGTCATTCATCATCTGTCTATCCATCATACACGCATCATCATTCACCCATCCAATCATCCATCTATCCACCCACCCACCACCTATCCATCCATCCATCCATCCACTCACCCATTCACACATTCATCCCTTTTTGTTCTGTGTTGACCAGGACTAGGCACAAGTCAAGGAAGTGAGACAGGCAAAGCTGGATCTCCCCATGCAGGTTCCACTTGAGTAGGATGCTCTAGATCAACTATGAACAGATAAATATACAACCAAGAATTCGCAAAACTGGGATTGTGAGCCAGGGCTGCAGACTCAGACATCTGGTGGAGTCCATGAGACTCTTATCTACAGTTAACCAGCAGAAAGCTGGAAGTGGAGCTGTGGCTCAAGTGGTAGAGTGACAACCTTGAGCAGAAAAAAACCAAGCAAGAGCAAGAGGTCCTGAGTTCAAGCCCCAGTTCCTGCTCACAAAAAATAAAAAGAATGATAGCAAGTAGGACACAATAGGGACACACAAGCCTAGCAGGTGTTGAGTGCTTGTTTTGAGAACTTGTTTGGAGGTTCTAGCAGGGAACTCAGCTACTTGTATACCCTTGACCGAAGACCGGGCCTCCTCTATCGGGGATGGTCGTCCTCTTTGACCAAGTGCGCAGCTTCGGGAGGGACGCACATGGAGCGGTGAGGGAGGAAGGGGACACCAGTCTAGCCAGCCAGATCAGCCGAATCAACCCTGGAGATCAATGGGGTGGCAGATGTCGCAGCCAGATCGCCCTCACATCCCTTGTTTTGTTATTCTTTGTATTTTGTGTGTCATAAGTTTCTCGGTTTCTTCTTCTTCTCAAAGGACGGGGAGGGTAATTAGGGCTTTCCAGTGAAATAATTAATGAGAGATTACCTGTTTATATTAAAAAGGATGAAGAATATTAGGTATAAGGAAGACATTTGTTATAATATGGTACTGGCTCACAATGGAGGCAGAAAGTCCCCCCAGCTGCTTCCCCACATGTCCAGTCCAGGTCTGGAAACTGAGACATAGGAGCCCCTGGCCTGGTAAAGTCTAGCATTCCACTCAGATACGCAGTGGGAATCCAACCACTGTTCTCTGCCTCAACAGAATGGATGATAGACCTGTGGAGGGGCCCCCACTTTATCCAGTACCCCAGTTGAAAGTCAAGTTTTGGAAACACCTTTCCAGCTGTACCCAGAAATAACATTTACCAGCTCTTTGGGCATCCTGAGACCCAGTCAAATTGACACATAAAATTAACCATCACAAAGGAAAAGACAAGCACTAAATACTATTTAAATTCAGACACAATTGACAACTTAGAATGACTACCTACCTATCATGTTGCTAGACACTGTGTTTTCAAAATGATGGGTTAGTTGTGTAGCTTAAAGAAAAAGTAAAAACCTACAGACACAAGGTGACATTGAAGTTGTCCCTGAGGAAGGGACACGGGCAAGCAAAGTATGTTATGCCAACCATCGTTCTAGAACAGAGTCCTGATGCACACAGCTTCTTCTGTATCCACAGTGACTTCCGTGCAGACCAACAGCCTTAAGAAACCTCCCACCTTCGAGAGCCTCACATGAGGGAATAAACTAAGGATTGGGAACTGTGCAACTGACCTTTCTGCTCTTGTTTGGCCCAGAACATTTGCACCCGCTGGCGAATGTGCTTGTCTTCACGGAGTTTCTTCTGCCATTGACGAAGCTCTTGAATCTCAGGATCGCAACGTACCTGCAAAGATCACCAGAAAGCTTTAACAGCCCTCTCTTTGTATTTTTATTTTTAACAAAGTTCTACACTGTTGCACACTAATAACACATGGAAAAACTTTTACACACCAAGCAGATGTACTACTTATTATTTATTTGACAGTACTAGGACTTGAACTCAGGGCCTCAAATTTGCTAGGTAGGAACTCTACCATTATTTATTTATTTTGTATTTTGCAGTACTGGGGATCCAGCCCAGGGCTTTGCCCATGTTTAGCAAGCACTCTACCACTGAGCTATGTCTCCACCCCTACTGGATGCACTTTTGAGTCTCAATGAATCACTCTTGTCAATGAATTATTATCTATACTGCCAAATCTCATGCTATATTTGAGTTCAAATGGGGTTGTATGAACATTGACATAAGAATGGTAACCTGGGAACATTCTAGATTTGTGCCATCAATGGAAATATAACGGAGTCATGTATACTTTTTCATTTCCTCAATGTCCTTTTAAAAACTAAAAATAAGCAGGCGAGACTGCTTCTCAACAACCAAAGATTTATATAGTCTGAAGAGAAACCACAGGATGAGATGGCTTTTAAAAGTGTATCTTAGCTGGGTGCTGGTGGCTCACTTCTGTCATCTAAATTACTCAGGAGGCTGAAATCTGAAGATCAAAGTTCAAAGCCAGACCAGACAGATAAATCCAAGAGACTCAGATTTCTAATTAACCAGTAAAAAGCCAAAAATGGTGGGAGGGGGGCCTGGGTCAAGTGGAGTGCCATGAGTTGAAAAAGCCAAGCTAGAACACACACACACACACACACACACACACTAATGTACCTTATTTTAACTGCAATATCACAGAGCTTTTGTCATTTCAATGCTAAGGCACATGGCACTTTTTTTTAACTTAACAACACCATTTTGGATAGCTGTATTTCAAGTATTCTTACTGGTGCCTTATTCTATTGGACAACAAGGTCTATAAGAATCCATGAGTGTCTGGAAAGCAGTATGGAGGTTCCTCAAAAGACTCCACATAGAGCTCCCTTATGACCCAGCAATCCCACTTTTGGGCATTTACCCAAACGATCATAAACAAGGTCATAACAAAGCTTCCAGCACAACCATGTTTATCGCAGCATTATTTACCATAGCTAATTTATGGAACCAACCCCGATGCCCCTCAGTAGATGAATGGATCTAGAAAATGTGATACACACACACACACACACACACACACACACACACACACAATGGAATTCTATGCCTCCATCAGAAAGAATGACATTGCCTCTTTCATTAGGAAATAAAAAGACTTGGAAAAAATCATATTAAGTGAAGTAAGTCAGGCCCAAAGAAACATAGGTCCCATGGTTTCCCTTGTTTGCAGTGACTAGTACATGTCTAGGACAAGCAGAGTAGGTCAAAGGCTATGTACATATGACCATGAGATAATGTTAAGCAAAATGTGCCCCAAGACAGGGACACAAGAGGTTTTTGGGTTTTTTTCTTGCTTGCTAGTGTTTTTAATGTACTTACAATGCACTATGTGATTCTTTTGTTTCTATTGTATGTTCTCCTGCCATGAAATAACCCCTGTTTTCCCTGGATTTGATGCCGGTATTCTGCACCTTGTATATATATTTTTTTAATTTGGGGAGGGGAAGGGATATTGCAGAACGCTTAAATGGGGATACAGGCTGACCCATTGTGACAAAGAGATGTACAGGACACTACATTGAAAATAAACTTTACAATATGGGGGAGGGTGGGAGGAGTTGGGGGGGAGGGAAGTGATGGTACGGGGAAAATAAAGGAGGAGGTAACAATGCTCACTATGAAATGTACTACTCATTACCCTACTCATGAAACTGTAACCCCTCTGTACAACATTTTTTTTTTTTTTGTCGGTCGTGGGGCTTGAACTCTGGGCCTGGGCACTGTCCTTCAGCTCTTCAGCTCAAGGCGAGCGCTCTACCACTTGAGCTACAGCGCCACTTCCGGTTTTCTGGTGGTTTATTGGAGATAGGAGTCTCACGGTCTCTCCTGCCCGGGCTGGCTTTGAACCACAATCCTCAGATCTCAGCCTCCTGAGTAGCTAGGATTACAGGCATGAGCCACCAGGGCCCGGCTTTTTGTACAACATTTTTATAATAATAAAAAAATAAAATAAAAAAGAATCTGTGAGTGTGTGAATGCTCCATCTCATAGCAATTGACTGAGGCCTGCTGGGCCTTGTTCGAGACATGGAGAATATGAAGATGGTGAGTGGTGATTGTAATAATTGTGAATGCTTTGTTACAATTGTAGCTCACTTATTGAGCCATCAGCCAGCGCACTGAGCACGTTACTCTCCAGTAATGCAGGAGGGACTGTCCCCGTTTTACAGATGAGAGAGCTGAGTTCAGGCAGCTCACAAGTTGTATGGCTAGGAAAAGGTCAAGCTGGGATTCACGCTTTGGTAGACTGGCTCTGAGAAATAATCAAGCAGGAGATGAGACAAGATCAATAAAGTGTGACCGGGTACCCATGGCTCACTCCTGTAATCCTAACTACACAGGAGGCTAAAACTTGGAAGAGCTCAGTTTGAAGCCAGGACTGGGCAGAAAAGTTCCTGAGACTCCATCTCAATAGAAGAAACTGGTCATGGAGTGTGCCACAATCTGCCATGGCAGATTATGATCGGGGGTGCACACGGAAAGGAACTGAGACCCTATCTCAAAAATAACGAATGCAAAAAAAGAGCTGGAGTCATGGCTCATCAGTGGAGCACCTGCCTAGCAAGCATGAGGTCCTGAGCTCAAAGTCCAGTAATACCAAAAAAAAAAAAGGGGGGCTGGGAAGGTGGCTCAGTGGTAGAGCGCTTGCCTTGCATGCATGAGGCCCTGGGTTCGATTCCTCAGCACCACGTAAGCAAAAAGAAAAAAGCCGGAAGTGGCGCTGTGGCTCAAGTGGTAGAGCGCTCGCCTTGAGCTGAAGAGCTGAGGGACAGCGCCCAGGCCCAGAGTTCAGGCCCCACGACCGGACCCAAAAAAAAAAAGCTGAAGAGAAGCAAGAGTCATCTCTGGGGAAAGATGGCCCTACATTTCCAAAGAAATCACAATGGGAGCCAGGCGCCAATGACTCACGCCTGTAATCCTAGCTACTCAGGAGGCTGAGATTTGAGGATCACGGTTCAAAGCCAGCCCAGGCAGGGAAGTCTGTGAGACTCTTACCTCTGATAAACCACTCGAAAACCGGAAGTGGCATTGTGGCTCAAGCAGTAAAATGCTCACCTTGAGCCCAGAGTTCAAGCCCCATGACTGACAGAAAAGAAAAAAGAAAGAAATCACGATGGGATAAACTAATAAAGATGGCTACTGTAAGGCTCCCATACTTAACCAGCTCCATTCACTCAAGATGAAAGATGAGACCACAGTCAGGTGCCAGTGGCCCACACCTGAAGTCCTAGCTACTGGGGAAGCTGAGATCTGAGGCTCACAGGTCGAAGGCAGTCCAGGCAGGGAAGTTCATGAGACATGTATCTCCAATTAACCACCCAAAATCCAGAAATGGGGCTGTGGTTCAAGTGGCAGAGCACTAGCCTTGGGAAAAACAGCTCCAACACAGTGTTCAGGCCCTGAATTTAAGCCCAGAACTGGCGGCGCGCGCGCACACACACACACACACACACACACACACACACACACACACACACACACACACACACACACACACTATCCATCCAAGTCCTGAGCTTCCTGCTGGGGTCACTGGAATTCTATGAGAGGCCAAACTTGGGCTCTCAAGTTTTACCTTTTTAAAGACCCACACATCCACCTCCCCAGGACACTAACACAGGCCCCAAAGGGGCTGGTTTGAGTCAAGACTGGGTCCCATCCCCCCATATTCCCCTCAGCTCCCAACCTCCTTCCCTTTTGTTTTTCATCAGCACACAGCCTGCCTCTTCCTCTTCTGTGATTTTACTTTGGGAGATGGGACGACCTCACCTCTTACAACACTTCCATCTGAGTCACCTGTCATTCCAACGGCTGTGTGGTTTTTCTGGTAAGAGACAATGTCATGTAAAATGTGCCCTTCTAAGCATATTAAATGGTTCAGCATCATGCATGAGGTACATTCAAGAACGTTGTGTAGTCACCACCATTATCCAGTTCCACAACGTTCCCAGAGCCCCAGAAGGAAGCTCTGGACCCATTCATGATTCCCCTCCACCCTCACCCCACCCCACCCACTAATCTGTTTGTCTTCCTGGCCAGGGTATTTTGTGTAAATGGGACCATACTTCCATGTGGCCTGTCATGTCTTGTACTTGTATTTGAGTTTTGTAGCTGGCCACTGGTGGCTCAGCCTGTCATCCTAGCTAGTCAGGAGACTGAGATCTTTGAGGATTGTGGTTCAAAGCCAGCCCAGGCAATAAAAGTCCCTGAGACTTTTATCTCCAATTCACCAGCAAAAAAAAGTGGGAAGCAGAGGCATGACTGAAGTAAAATGTCAGTCTTGAGTAAAAAAGCCAAGTGAGCCGGGCGCTGGTGGCTCACGCCTGTAATCCTAGCTACTCAGGAGGCTGAGATCTGAGGATCGCGGTTCAAAGCCAGCCCGGGCAGGAAAGACCGTGAGACTCCTATCTCCAATAAACCACCAGAAAACCGGAAGTGGCGCTGTAGCTCAAGTGGTAGAGCGCTCGCCTTGAGCTGAAGAGCTGAGGGACAGCACCCAGGCCCAGAGTTCAAGCCCCACGACCGACAGACAAAAAAAAAAAAAAAGCCAAGTGAAAGTGTCCAGGCCCTGAGTTCAAGCCCTACTACTAACACACACACACACACACACACACACACACACACACACACACACACACACGAATGTTATAAAGGTTCTCCCCATGAGGCCAGTTCTCACATCACCTTCTGGAATGTTCCATCCATCACACAGTGACCCCGTAGAATGTCCATCAACCCATCTGTTCATGACCCTGGGAACTGTTGATGCCCTTTGGCTACTGTGCACACTTC